TCAGCTGTATAGTCAGATCCACTTCTGCCCTTAATGCAGCATTTCTCAATCTTTTTCCAAGTTTGGGCTTCCAGACATTGTTGTGGGCTTGTAATCTCCTTTGGTACCTCATCACCCAGAGCAGCTGAACTAGTTTAAATTCTCTGCAGCAATGAAAAATTCACCAGAGACAATAAATCATTGACATCATGGACTTCTGGCTAGTGTGAAGTGATTCAGAAATATATTTCTCAGCAGATTACAGCAGTCTATGGCATTCCCACTGGGTGATTAATACTCTTTTGGAACATACAATTCATAGAGAAAAAGAAGCAAAAAAGGAGTCTGATATGGTAGAACAACATTTTAGGATATTTTTACAATCTTCATATTTGGGTGCTTTACATTTGGAATGTTTTTCAGTTAAGCAGTTTTTCTTCCAGAAAACTACAATACATTTAAGGCACAATCTTATGCATGCTTAGCCAAAAAAGACCTACAACTCCCGGCATGCCTAAGTGAGGCATAGTCAATGATATGCTCAAGTCCACGTTAAAAAAAATCCAAGTAGGCAGGAATATACTTGCTTACCTTGACAAAACAGAAAGGAAACAAACAGCCCTGCAGCCCATCCTCTTGACACCCAAATCCTTGGATCTTTCTGAGGGATTTTTCCAAGAAGGTTCAGAACAAAACAGAGAAGAACTTGCCCTCCTGAGTCAACTTGTTATTGAAAAGAGCCTCTCTAGGTCTCTCTTTAAGGAACTATAACTCTATTGAATCAGCAAGCTTAGAGAATTGCATTCATCACAGCAGCAAATGCATTAACAATTAATTAATTAAAATGTGGTAAGAACATAACAGTCAAGCTGGATCAGACCAAGAGTCCTCTAGTCCAGCATTCTGTTCACAGTGGTTCACCAGCCCACAGGATCACCTAAGCGGAGAATGAGTGCAAGAGCACTCCCTTGGCCAAGTCCCCAGCAACTGGTGTACATAGGCACACTGCCTCTGATACTGCAGGTAGCATATAGCCAGCAGGACCAGTAGCCTGTGATAACCTTCTCCTTCATGAATGTCTCCAATATCCCCTGGTAGGGAAAGAGCCTTACAGAGTCCTGTGGCACCACAGAAATAAACATATTTCTCTCTCTGATGTAATACCATTTTATTTCATTTGACAGAGCAGACTCTTCCTGAAAGTCCTTTCTACAATTTATTGGTTACTATTTAAGGTGCCATTAAGGTGGCCCCCAAATTAAATGTGGGGAGCATCTGGAAATTGTAATCATAGAACCCAGAGAATGGATCACTGTATGCAATCTTTTCAGGATAAAAAGAGAAACAATGGAATAATACACAGAACAACTGGATTAATTTAGACTCACTTCTGGATAATTTCAATCCCAGTGGCATAAATCAGGAAACTATTTAAGGCCATTACCTACAAACTAAGGCCATTACCTACAAAACAGATAATGGAATGATTTATTTTTTCTCCATATGAAAGCACTTGTTAGGCAGTTGGTAAATAGCTATGTCAGCAAAGCTAGAAGATGAATAATCTTATTTTGAATTCTCTTAAAATGCTTGTTCAAAAAGCGGAACTTCATAGTCTGTGTGTGAACTTACTTGACACACTTCCTTTTGGGAGGTGGGGGAAAGAAGGGCATAGATGAAATGACTGGCATCAGACTTAAATCTTAATCATGTTTACAAGAAAGTGAATTCTACTATATTCAGTGGGACTTGATATAAGTAAACAGACTTGAGATCAGGTTGTTGTTATTCCCTAGCTCTTCTGCTGTAAACAGTGCTGAAATCTGATTTAGGGTGAACCTAAACATTTTCTCTTTATACTGCCCTTATTAGCTCAGTGCTTTCTGTCTGTTGCACAGCATTTTTCGGTAATTGATGCTTGTGAACAATTTAGAGGTGTCTGCAAAATGCTTTGGCTCCCAAGACTAGTCATCATGTAGCTGGTAAAGCTGGGATGGAGCAAAAATGAATCACAAAAATACGCCCCCTTCAAAATCGTAGGACGAATTGTGTGGGATTCTCACATTGATTATGTGAGAAAATGTTCAACATATTGTCTATATTATTTCTCAGGCTGGAGCTCTCAAACTCCCTGTTGCTATGCTGTTTGTTCCTATTAGGTATTGCAGTAAGGGTGGGGAACCTCTAGGGTCACATTGCCAATTTAAAATTGGCAAGTGACCCGTGCCAAAAAATATGAGAACATTGGTCTTTTTCAAGCAGTCATGCAAACATGTGCATCCTCGTCTTCTCTCATTGAAGAGTTGGAAGTGGATGGGGATTACTAGGAACCAGGACAGAGTTGCAAAGTGTAGGAAGAGAAAGGGGCCAAATTCTTACTGGCTGATAAATCAGAACCTTTTCTTTATCTAACAATGACCTTGAGCCATATTAAGTTTGTAGAAATGATGCTGGACCCTGGTTTAACTGGGCTCATAGGCCCTCTTTATTACTGTCACTACTGCCTATTCGCATCCCTCCTTCCACAGGGCCCAGTCCAAATCCCATGTACTACACTGAGATAACAGGATAACAACTGGACTGATCTAAGTTTTTGAAAAGAAAGGAAATTCTACACAACCTGATTTTAGACTTTTTCTTTTATCTGCATAAAAATAAATCATTGGTCTTTGGTTTGCACATAAATAAATAACACAGTAAAACAATTTTGGAAGCCAGAGCAGTATTGCATATTGTTAGCATAGGCCACATTTATTTTTTGTACTGTTTTGAAAGAGGCCCGTGGCACCAAACCCTCTATTAATGCAACTTTCCCATGTGAAGGGATCTCCCAATGCTTTCCCCCCTGATATTGCAAAACAGAGTTCATGGCATTGTTCTGAATATATTATTCCCATGGAACCCTGCCCTTTATATTAGAAGTGAATAATTAGATCACAAGGTTTAGCATTATTATGCAACCTGCCAGTGATGTGAACACATATTATCATTTAGAAAAAGGTCACTTAAAATCTACTGTAGCACTGAGTTCTTTTTCCCTAGGGAATCATACTAAGGCTGATGTCACTCTTTCAGTGTGTTACTTTATTTGCAGCATTTAACAAGCCTTGCTGAAGACAACAAGCTACATTGTAAAAACAGTCTTTGATTTTGCAAAGTTCATACACAAACAAGCAAGCACACAGGCACAAGTCTTAAGAACATAGACAGACAACACTTTTAATGACTTTAAATGATTTCTACGCAAGATAAAAGAATGAATAAATGAATAAATAAATGAATAAATAAAAACAAAGCAAAACATGTAAACCACATCAAACAAATTGTGCCCCTAGAGGTTTAGTGACTCTACCTTCTGTATGCCACAGTAATTGATTACCCTTCACAAACCCTAAGAAATATCTAAGATCAGGGCATCCAGAGGGCCTTTTAAAAACTGCATAGTAATTCCTGTATACTACACTTGACGATGATTGAAAAACTCTGAGGTTTTGAAAACAGCTTAGTTAGGTTCCACCAGGCTGCTGGCTTTTAGCAGGCATAAGCATGGCTAATTCTGTTGCATTGCAGCATTAAACACCACCCTACCATTTGTTGTGTGCCCTTGAACTGCTTGTTATTCAGATGCAGTCCATTGTGCATATCCAAAGTTTAGGCTTTCCATCAATATAGCTGAATTCCATTGGTTCTGTTGGGGGCCACACTCCAGTGACATACTGCAATGAAATTTTTAAGCCAGTGGGACATCAATTACCATGACTATTACATCATCACCAGGGTCTCACACTAAAACTGATGGAGGTCAGTGATTAAAATCAGCCTTTTGATGTCTACTTCAAATACTTGGCACCCAATGCCATGAAATACTAGCCCTGAGAACTTTTATAAATTCCATAATCATATAAATTAGGAATATCAGGGATCAGGTAAGTGCTTTTCTCCTTTTTGGCATCTGCACTGTTTACCACAGTTAGTTCATTCATGAAAGTTGTCAACAGCAAAGTGTCAATTGCAAGCATCAGTTCCTTGTATGTATACTCTGGATGTAGCAACATCTCTCCCTCGTTTGCTATTCCATAGAGAGTTAAATGTCCATGGCATAATATCCCTGCTAGAAGGGCTGGTAGGAAGATAAACACTACATTTTATAAATCTTCCATGTGTATAAGTAGCAGGTTGTTGTGATATGCAATGCTCCTTTCAAGGTTTTTCTTTTGTTGAGTGAATGCACTGAAATTTCCTAAAGATCTGTGCTTAGTTCAAACATCTTATTTTCTGCTGCAGACGTTGCATTTAAGACTCACCATGTGCAGCAGTAGCAACATCTCATTTATGACTGAATGTGGAACTGGGATAATGCCTGTCCTTCTAAGTGCCACGGATGCCACAGGAATCTGGTGGTCCATGCAGTCATGTTCACTGCATAATGAGATTATCAGTGGCTATCATGGTGCAAGCAGTGATTAAAATACCCTGCAAAATAAATTCATAGATGTTGTTTTAAGGTTTAGATGAATAAATTCAACCTGTTTTATCAGACTACTTTGGGTTATATTTTTCTGGATTTTTCTCATTATTACACTAGCTGCTTCACATTTGGCTACAAAATAGAACAGAAACTAAGAGGATTTCACTGATTTTTAGGATCTGCAGCCTCTAATGTGGACTTGAAAACATTATTTTGATCCCTTGTCTTCATTAAAGCCTCTCCTACAGCTCCTAATGCAGTTGCTGTTGAAATTTAGGGATTTAAAGTCCTGGGAGCTGTACTGAGTTGAGTTCAGAGTAGTCAGCAACTTTCTCACTGATCCATTTGAGAAACTCATTTGGAATGGGTGTTACCTACATATGACACAGTGTGAGATTTGGACAAAATAGTAGCTTAATGACTAAATAAAGGCATTATATGGCATGCAACATAAGAAAACATTTTGTTATAGACTGGTTGAAGTGTTTTGGCCACCTGATTTTTGTCTTTGGACCAAAAAAGTTCTTGTACCATTTATTTTCTTCCTACTCAGGGATTCTTCATGTAGAAAAAATGGAGTGGGAACAGATCCGTTATGCACCCATGGGGCAGGATGTAAGTACAGTGAGTATTTCATTCATTATTTTTCTATTGCTGTTGAAGAAGGAAAAGAAAAACACCCTCAGATCATTTGAAGAAGTGGTTTGTCTCTTTTGAGAGCTGCTGTTAAGTGAGAGCTGCTGTTAAAGTTAGAGCTGCTGTTAAAAAAAGCAAAGAATATGATCTGTGCATATGGACACATAGCATGATAACATAAATTATCAGCAATGCCATCTCAAGGTTATGAAGGCCCTTAGGCAAGGCATTCTCTATGGGCCCTCTCCTTCTAGGAATATGTCTTCTCGTTAACAGCTATTGCTCCTTGTCTTCTTTCTCTTCATTGCTTCTACTCACTTGATGGGCATAGATTCAATGAGCAAGAAAGCAGCGGCAACCACTGTTCCTCTCTCTCGCCACCTCTGTTGTCTGGACTAAGGCAAGCTGACACGGTAAAGAGCAACTCCAGTCAGCTCTTTTAGTGGCTCATGCTGGGATGTGGGTCTTTGGCAGGTGACCAGTGATCCTTACCTTAGATGCTAACCTTGGTTCTCAGTAGCAAAGACATACAATTCCAGCACTGATCACAGGTGCCTTTTTATTCTTGTTCAATATTTTTCTTTACAGGACTGATGTGCATATGAGGAAGCATGATGGGATGCATGGTGATACTCTACTACAGCATTAATTAGTAACTAATTCTGATTGCCCAACTAAAAAATGAGGACAGCAGGAATGTTTAGACAAGACTCTCTTCCCCTTGCTGTGTTAAGTGAATGCATAATAGAGAATGGGGTAGGCTATGTTCTCTCACATTGCTGTATGTGTTGCCCTTAGTATGAAGGGGAACTCTGCATTCAGATGCATGTACATAGTCCTCTAACATCAAACTTGTGGTTTCTGAGGGGCATGTGTGCATGTTCCTAGCTACGATGTTGAGATTGTGGAACATGGGTATTGGGGACATCCTATTCCTACATCACACTGACAGCCAGTGCAGTGTAACAGTTAAGAGTGTGGGTCTGGGATTCAGGCCATCTGGCTTGCAGTTCCCACTCAGTGATGGAGCCAACTAGGTGACTTTGGGCCAGTCACAGACTCTCAGCTCAACCTACCTGACAGGGTTGTTGTTGTTGGGATAAGTTTGAAAGCAGGAAGAAGAGAATGATGTAAGCCATGGGTTCTCAAACTATGGCTCACAGGCTGGATCCGGCCAGCCATTCCCACTTATTCAGCCCGCCATAGCTCGCCATGCCGACGCATGGGTGCGCCATGGCAAGGTGCTGGCTTGCTCACAAGGAGATAGTTTTGGACTCAATCAGAGAAAACAATCTCTGAGCATACACACACGCATGCCCTTGCCTTGCTGCATGCATACCCCCCCAGCCCGCACCCCCCCCCGCACTGCCTCGGCGGCCTGCTCTCATCACCGGCACCTTTCAACTGGCCCCCTGTTCAAAACGTTTGAGGACCCCTGATGTAAGCAATTTTGAGTTTGTTATAAGAAAAAAGCAGGATATAAATCTAATCAATCAATCAATCATGCATTAATTGAAAATGCATGTAGGGGCACTGCCTGGATGCCTGTATAAATATAAATTGTATACCTGTTTAATAGTGCCCCATTCTGTTGCTTATGAATGATTTAAGCTGCTGTGATTCCTCTTTTATAATAAGTTTTATTCAAAATTATAATCCTAAAAACAAAGAACAACCAAAAACAACATCAATCATCAACAACATTGGGCCTGCTGGGTCAGCCCCCACATTTTTTCCATTTATGATAACTTAAAACACATATTTAAATCAATACAAAGTCCCGTTTCTCTAGCCAATAATAAAAAGAGTCCCAAGTCTGATAGAAGTCAGTATCTTCTTTCTCCTTCAATGATAAGGTCAATCTATCCATTTCTGCACAGTCCAAGATCTTTTTTAGAATCAGTTCGTTGGTGGGTGGTTCTTCACTTTTCCAGTGTTGAGTAAATCCTTGCCGCAGTAATTACATGTAAAATCAAATACATTTCTTGTTTACTAATATCAACAAGTATAATGCCTAATAAGAAGACTTCAGGTTTAAAAGCTAAAGGTTTTTGTAACATTTCTTCAAGCCATTTATGTATTTTAATCCAATACTTTTTCACGTTATCGCAAGTCCACCACATATGATAGAAAGTACCCAATTTATGTTTACATTTTCAACATCCATTTGACATATTTGGAAACATCTTAGCTAATCTATTTGGCAACAGATACCATCTATAGAACATTTCATACAAATTTTCTTTATACGGAGTTGCTAATATTACCTTAATATTTCTCTCCCATAACTTTTGCCATTTTTCTAATTCAATATTATATCCAAGTTTTGTGCCCACATTATCATAGTTTCCTTAACCTGTTTGTCTTCCATTCTCCTATCGAGTAAGAAATTATATAGTCTTTTAATCATTTTCTCATCTGATTTAAGCATCACTTGATCAAATGCTGTTAAGTCCTTATAAAAGCCTCACGTTTTATAATCTTTAGCATATCTCGATTGTATCTGCACCTTATGCCACCAAGAGATATTAGATCCCTGTTCTTGTGCTTTTTGACTCAATTTCAATCCTCCATCCTTATCCAGAATGTCATCATATCTTAGGATCCCTTCAAAATCCAATGCATTTGGATATCCAAAAGCTTCAATAGGTGAAAGCCATCTTGGCAATTTACTATACAGTTTTGTCTTTAACTTTTCCGACACCGACATTAATAGCTGCTGTGATTCCAGAGTGACATGAGACAAGATCAAATACATGATATGAGTACCCAACATTTTCATTTAAAAGCAAGTGTGAGAGCCTCTGGGAATTCATCAGAGGCAGAGAGAGTTTTGGTGTTGTTGATCACAGGTTTTTGGGGTAACTTGGACTGGGAAAACAACATGCAGTGAAAGGGTTGATCCCTCCCTCCTCACGTATCACTGTCATTATCATTATGTGTTAGAAAGTTGTCTCTGACTTATGGTAACCCTGTGAATGAATGCCCTCTAAAATGTCTTATCTTCACAGTCCTCCTCAGTTCTTGTAAATTTAAAACAATCAGTTCCTTTATGGAATCAATCCATGTCATGTTTGGTCTTCTTTTTCTTCTTCTGTATTTGACTATTCCTAGCATTATCCCCTTGAGTGATACGCTTGAAGTATGGCAGCCTCAGTTTTGACATTTTTGCTTCCAGGCTTGATTTGATCTAGGACCTACTTATTTGATTATCTGTCAGTTCAGGGTAGTAGCAAAGCTCTCCTCCAGGACTATGTTTCAAATGCATCAATTTTCTTCCTGTAAGCTTTCTTCACTGGCCAGCTTTTACACCTATTCTAAGTGATCAGAAATACAATAGTGTGGATGAGTTGGCCTTGGTCACCAGTGAAACCTTTTTACAGTGGCTGATCTTTTATAGTTTTTTCACTGCTGTTCTTCCAAGTCTCAGTCTTCTTCTAATTTCTTGGATGCAATATCCCTTTGAATTGATTACTGAGCCAAAGTATGCAAAGTCTTTGACAATTTCAGCTTTTTCATTGTCAACATTAAAGTTGTGTTATTCTGCTCTAGTCACGATTTTAGTTTTCTTAATATTCAGCTGCAGTCCTGCTTTTGTGCTTTCTTTTTTCACTTTCAGCAGGAGTCATTCCAATTCATTGCTGCTTTCTGCCAGTAATATGGCATCATCTGTATATTTCAAATTATTGATATATCTTCTGCCAATTTCTACTCCTCCTTCCTCTGATATCAATCCTGCTTTTCTTATTGTATGTTCTGTGTACAGATTGAACAAACAGGGAAATACAATATTCCCTTGTCTGATGCCTTCACCTAAAGGAAACCATTCAGTTTCTCCGTATTTTGTCCTAACAGTAGGTTCTTGTCCATAATATAGGTTACACATCAGGACAAACATAGGTTGATGCACACTTATTTTTTCAGGGACATCCACAGCTGCCTGTGATTTGTACAATCAAAAGCTTTGCTGTAGTCTATAATGCATAGACTTATCTGAAATTGTTTGGTGTGCTCCAGTAGCCACCATATTTTTGTGAGATGATTTCAAGTACTCCTTCCTTTGCAGAATCCAAACTGAACTCCAGAAATTTATTGATCCACATAGGGTACTGTTTCTTTGTTGCAACACCTTCAGGATCACTTTGCTTTCATGGGAAATTAGTGCAGTCATTCTCTAATTGCTGCAATACTTTGTATCTCCTTTCTTGGGAATTATTGTTATTGTATTGTATCTGCTGATTTAACCACCTAGACAGCTTCCTCTATTGGGTGGTATAGAAATAATAATCATTGTCATCATTGTTGCCACCATCATCACCACCACCACCACCACCATCATCTCCATCTCTAGTCTGTGGGTCATTGTTTTGTTTTCCATATTTGTTGGCACATTCTTGATAGGTTTTGGGTTGATTCGGTCTCTGCAGCTTGGAGTAGTTCTGTTGGTATCCTATGTACCCCAGGTGCTTTGTTCCTACCAAGTACTTTCAAAGCAGTAGCACTGCTCTGATCAAATTTGGAACACCTTTGGCTTCTTTTAGGGAAAAATAAATCTCATGTCAGAAAATTTCAAAACAAACCTTTAATGTCGTGTCTGATTGGCTCTGTAAACATCTCATTAAATGTATTTCCTGAAGGGAAGATGGGAAAGCATTTTGGTAGCTGCTCTACTTTTATGGAGCTATAGGCTCCTGTAGATTCTTCAGAGCCTTAATGTGAACATATTTTGGAAAGAACTGCAAGACCTTTATGAACAAACATTTAGTAATTGATGGTATTCTGGGTTGTTCTGCTTTTTTTAAAAAACACAATGCTATCTGCCACAAGCTTTTAGAATAGAGCATAGTATATGCCCAAATATATGTCAATACATAATTAAACAGTGCCACTGGATTTCTTAGACTAAAATTACAACACTGAATCTGATTTCCTTTGTGGCCTCTGGAAACTCACATATGTTTGGGGGATGGAGGTGCAAT